ATATATATATAGGTAACATACATCATGTCACATGGTGATAACCAAAAGTGACATGGTGTAATTGAACTAATCTAAATATATGTAAAAAATAAATATTTTTTAACTTAACACTTTAGACAATTGTGAATAATCATCTGTGATACTTGAAATCGAGTTTTGTTTCATAATACCTGTAACATGAGAAACTCATTATGATTAAATCTTTTAACTAAAATGTCTCCATTAGAGAGAAAATATTACAGTTTATTACAAATTGTGTAATATCTGCGTAACTGAGAAATCATAGCTGTTTCTGTTTAAAGTTGAAGGAATATAAATATTAGGTAAAGAAGGTCCAGAAAGCTGGTAATAAAATAGTTTACATGAACAAAACCATGGTTTTCTTAATTTGAGTGCGCGATTGAACATAGGTTATTGTATTTTGTATTCCTAATTAAGTGGGAAATACAATTATTAATAATCTGATTACTCAAACTCTTTTAATGATCAATCTATCTATATAATAAACAGAAAGTTAAAATTTAACGTCTTTTTAAGCAATGACCTTACATGTAAATAAAAGTTGGTAACATTAAGAAAACTGTTTAATAATTATTTATAAGAACATAACGTTCACAAACTTGTTGCTGCCATCCTTAAGCATGTTATGTGTGCTCAACATTTTATTAAAGGACTTGTTTCCAGTTTGAAATTTTGAACCAGCATTTCCCCACAAACCTTTTTTTTTTCATATGTGACGTTGTTTAGCAGATTATAGGGCTTAAAATGATATTTAAAGCTATTTGAGCCCCTTCTTTATGAAGACGAAAGAATAATTGGTCTCATTAATGATCAGGCACTCGTTATTAAAGAGATTATAACTAAGTCTCTAACGAATCATCTCCGGGCGAATACATATTTTTACTCTAACTTATTTATGCATACACTTGTTTTTTCCACGTCTCTGTTTTAATGATGTTAAACGTAATAAACTTGTATTAGTTCCTATTTCACTACATATATATGTTATGAACTTCTGTAATTACATTTTTGTTGTGCGTCCTTTACATTAATCACAGCTAAAACTTACACTTCTGTAGATATAAAGTGCAATTATAATATGTATGTATAATTTTCATAATAGAATAAAGTACTTTATATGTAGGGTTAATCAAAACATTTTTATAGTGCAGTTTAACCAAAAGAGTGTATAATAAATCAACATTTCTGTTTTCTATGCTTCTTAATCTACATTCAACCAGTTTTTGGCTTGTGGGCATTTTTCTTTCACAACATAAAAATATTTAAAGTAGATAGCTTTTTCTTTTATACTTAGGACTTAGTTCACAGAGTTTTGAAATATTTGAACGTGTTCTTATAGACATATTTATTCTGACTTATTTCGTCATATTCAGATTGTTTATTACTGACTACGTCTGGAAGGGTATTATTTCGAAATATGTTTGTTGTCAGAAATAAGTATATAATAAATATTTTAAACCAAGAAGTTTATGGTTCTTATTCAGCAATATACACTTCAACTAAGTCTGAGTAGAGAGAAATTGTCTCTCATGAAAAGTTGGGACTTTGAAATATTTTCCTGAAGTAATATCTTACACTAGGTTCATATCAGCAGTTTTATTACCGAACATTTTCTTTCTAACTCTCTCCTTAGGTCCACCAGAACCTTTAAAAAACTGCACCATCTCTAACACCACCGTTGATTCTGTCCATTTAGAATGTATGGCAGGTAACGACGGTGGTTTGAAGCAGTTTTTCTTCCTTGAAGTTTATAATTCCCAACAGGAACGTCTAGCTGCCAATATTACGAGTCATTCCAAGCCCGTGTTTCATGTTGCTGAATTGTCTGAAGGATCCCGTTTCATCCTACTCCTATACTCGGCCAACAGTAAAGGAAAAAGTTCCCCTATTGCACTTACAGCGAAAACGAAACCGATTCCTCAGAAGTTTCTTGGTAAGTAAAAACTTGTGTGAATTGAAGCTAGTTTTTCTTAGTGCGTACTGTGAAAACTTGGATAAATGCCAAAAAATACATTTCACATTTTGTACAACTGCATAATTTACACACATCTTCGTTTGTTTAAGTTAAGCACAAAGCTACACAATGGGCTATCTGTGCTCTGCCCACCACGGGTATCGAAACCCGGTTTCTAACATTGTAAGTCCGCAGATATACCGCTGTGCCACTGAGGGGCACATATCTTCGTAATAACAAGTTTTCACGAAAACCTCTAACTCTAGCTTCAGCCAATACAGTTCATCCTCGTATGTCAGGTTTAGTACGAAAACCACCAACCACGTGTATCAGATTTAGTGATGTAATGTATATGGCCATATTAAAGAAGTTTTTCGTTTAGAAACATTTCAGTTTGATTTTGTAGAATGGCAACCGTATCAGTTAAGCTCTGAAAGCTCTGAAAATGTTTGTTCAGCGCTAAACTAAATTCCAAGAATGTCATATATATAAATAAAGTATAACATATTAAAGACATTGTATTACAGATCCTTAGTGTTTTACTGCAAAATCTAATTTAAATGAAAATTGATTCTAGTATTTCTGTCTTTTTATATCAGTACCAAAATAGTGCTTGGAATATCCTGGTGTTTAGAGCGCAATGTGCTAGCTGCATGTTCCAATCTCGTCACCGATCATGTCTACTCTGTGTTATAATTTAAAGGTTACTCATACTTTTCGTTGGAAAATAGTAGCCCAAGATGGAAGTGAACGGGTGTTGGCAAGCTGCCTTCCCTCTGATCTATCACTTATAAATTAGGTACGGCCAATGCAGATAGTTCTCGAATAGATTTGCGCGAAATCAGACAAACAATAAAAAATAGTTTCTTGGTGTTTTGTATAAGTGTGAAAACTAGTGATATTTTGTTAATTTAAGATTCTAGTTTTAGCCCGGTATTTATTTTATTTCAGATGTTTTTTTATCAGTATAATATTGTACTTTTAGTATATACCGTTTATAGAGAACAGTAACAGAAATATTATCTAACTAGAAAGTATAGCATGTGTTCATTAAAGCTAAAGGCTTATGTAGACTACAGTTGAAGCATGAAAGATTATTTTCTAGGCTTCATTCAGGTCTCTTGCGCACAAACTCAGCGCTGGTCTTTCTTTTACTCTTCATTATGAGGAAGAAATTATTAATATTTCTAAATACGACATTGACTCTTGTGCTTACAAAAGTTCAGAAAAAATTGGGACTCATACTATTATTATATCTTATAAAGCTGAAAAAATAACAAGACCTTAACATTGTCTAACTTACCTTGGGATCACATTTCAAGCGTAGTTTAAGTTTGATAGGAAAGAAGCTTTAACAAGAACTTGTTTGGCTCTGGAATTAGTTAGTTTGTTGTTTTCTTGTTTTAGCGCAAAGCTACACAATGAACCATCAGTTCTGTTCATCGCGGGGAATTGAACCCTTGTAAGTCAGTAAACTTACCGCTACTCAATCGGAGGATGCCAAATTGTTTACATTTAGCTCTATTAATTGTACTGATTTCAATAATACATATGAAATCAATAAGATCATGAGAGCCAAACAAAGCTTTCGTTAGATACTTGAGTTTGATTCTCCTATTATTGTCAAAAACAACAACAAAAAATTCTAAAGTGAAGGTTTTCGGTATGACAACTACAAGTACGTTATCCACATGTGATATTAATGCGAGTTTTGAACACTTAAGATATGTTATTCACCTGTTGAACAGTATTTAATAAAAAATACAACTGTTGAGTTTGTTTTGTTTTGTTTATTTTGAATGTGATTCTCTGTTATACTTGACCCTGTGGTTTCTGTTAAGGCTGTAGATCGTGAATGCTCTTTCCTGAACAACTTACAATAGATAGAATAATGGTGTTACTGATGCAAGGACAATTTTGCAGAGACAATATCGACTGATCTGACTCAAGTTGAAGAATGTAATCAATTACATATAAGAGAAACATTTCGCGTTTTTTTGGGGTTCATGTCACATTAACGAACCTTTGTAGTCATGTTCCTGAAAATTACAACATCACTTCTTGCTCTGACAACATTTGGTCCATGCCTTAACGGCTGAGGAATTTGAATGTTCATTCTGTTTATTAAAGTAGGTTTTAGTAAATGCATTGGTGTTAGTTATTTCAAACCCAGATTTTACATCTGTACCGTGTTTAGATGCCAGTGATAGTGAAGTCAGAGACATGTTTTAGTTGAAAGTATAAAGCAGAACAGAGTGAATAATTGCTTGCAAGAGTCATACAATAAATACTCTTAAATTGCAATGGACAATAAGAAGAATGCATGTTTGTTATTCTGGATTTCTTCACAAAATAACAACTTTGCTGTACAATTCCAAATTAGAAAACTGCACAGAAATGCTCTTGAGTTTTCTAAAGTGAAACCATGTTCATTTATAGAATGTTCTGATTCAGGACATAATATGGTTGTAAAAGTTAAAGTTTTGTTTTCCCAGTGACAATCAGAACTTCTTGCAAATGAAAACAACTGAATAGGTAAATAACCAATTCTATCTTGGAGAGTAATTTCAATGAATCGGGCAAAGGTGTTTCCAACATAGTGTAGTGAACCTATCATAAAAGCTTATAATCTCTCAATATTGAATAAAAAATTATAGATACGGGGTATAAACACTATAAAACCACTATTAACTGAGGGAAGAGCAGGGATTGTGGAAAAACTAGTGACTCAGAGGCAGAAAATTCCATACAAGATATAAGAATGTTATACTTCTATCACCAAACTGAGTTTTAATTGTTCTTTATTTATGGAAAGAAAATTCATCTGTTGGGTTTAGCTCATCCAACTTAGGAGTTTCAGAATTTGCAAGTGGTCCAATAACGTTAACTTTTTTTACTGCTTTCCTTTGTATACGAGAAAAATGTAAAAACAAAACAAAAATAGAGAAAAAATCATTAAATGTTACTAAAAATCCCTTTACTTGGAGGGTAAATATTGAAAAATGTTAAAATAGCATATATTACAAAATATTCGCAGGCAAAATGAAAGTATGAGGCAATCGTTTGTCATGTTTTTTGAGGTACCTAAATAAATTTCTGTATTTCAAAACATACAGAATATCCCTCGAATAGATTACTAGTTGTATGGATTAAATCAATCTTTTCATTTTTATAAGCATTAACAAAAATAGTTTTTGATGAATAAGTATTAGTCGCTCTATTAATAAAAATGGCATCATTTATTAAAAGTCCAATATCATAGAATGGAAACTTTCTAGTTATATAACATATACTAATATCTACGAATAATAAATTCTACTATACTTTGTTGATTTTTGAAATAGTAATTTTTTTTCGTTTAAATGATTTATACCATCACATATTGTTTATTAAGTGCATCTTTATTTTCATTCAGTTCTATTAAATTTGTTATAGTATTTTAATTTGCATCAGATCCATTTATCTTTATTCAGTTTTAATTAATTGTTTTCCAAATATAGTAAGTAATTTTATCGAAGTTTCAATATTAAAGTTATTATTACTAAATACTAAAGTTATCATCAATTGCCTATTTCGAATTTCTTTCTAATGTGCTTATATTAAGTTAATATTATTATATTAAACAAATCAACATCTACTTCCTTACATAAAATACCTCAATCGCAAAATGGAACTGGATGTTGATGTTGATTTGTTTAATATATTACTCAATATATTTTCTATGAATTTATCTACCTCCTTATTAAAACTTCAAGAACTTTATCATTTGCTTTATTTAAAACATCAATAAAAATACCATTCCTATACTATTTCCGACTATTTACAAATAAATGATGTATGTTATAATTTATTTATTATTATTTAAAAGTCATCTATATACAGCCTGTTGTTTGCACAAGTTACGTGGATGATCGTTTTGATAAGTAATCTTCATTATTCCATAAATAAAATTTGATCTATTAAATTCCGCATATAATGGATTTGATTTTTCAGTTTAAACTTGCAGGTGGATTAGAGAGATATATTGTTTGTTTTTGAATTTCGCGCAAAGATACACGAGGACTATCTGCGCTAGCCGTCCCTAATTTAGCAGTGTAAGACTAGAGGGAAGGTAGCTAGTCATCACCACCCACCGCCAACTCTTGGGTTACTCTTTTACCAACGAATAGTGGGATTGACCGTCACATTATAACGCCTCCACGGCTGAAAGGGCGAGCATGTTTGGTGTGACGGGGACCAGGTGGATTAGAAGGAATGAAAAGCTACAAAATATCGCTAAACTCATTATTGTATAATATCCCCTTGATCTAAGACTGCTAATGAATTTAAAGAAATGTATAAACAAACTATTAAAAATATGATTATTATTTGATCTTAAACATCTTGAACTGAGTTATAGAAATAATTTCAATGTACTATAAATAATGGAAGAGTACTTAAGAAAGAAACTATTTGTGTATTAGAGAAATTATATATTCTATTCTGATATTAATATAGTTATGATAAGTTTTAAATCTTTATTCAGTGCTTCTGGTTTGAAGCGATTGCTATTGTTCATTTAGGAGTATTAAGTCTAGGAACAAGTGTTATTGAAGTAATTGATAATTATCTAAGATATTTTTTCTGCTAGAAAAATAGTATATATCTGATAGAAAAGAAGAATTTAAATAGTATTACAACCTTAACAAAGAAATGTTAAGTTTATTTAAATGTCAAAATATTAAAGAAGAAGAATTTAACTTAATAGAGTGGATAAAGCAAGTAAGAAACGTGATATTACTTATAGTAAATCAACAGAAACGGGTGGTAGATATATTGCAGATCAAGAACTTATAGAATATTTGAATGCTATTCAAGATTGAGCTTTACATGAAAAAATTGCTACAGGAATTATGAAACCAATTATTAAAGGTACTACAATACTCGGCCTTGGCATTTCATCTGTAAAAAGTGTTAAAGTATAAAACAAAAACTTAAAT